AATGGATGGATGGAAGGATGGATGGATGGATGGATGGATGGATGGATGGATGAATGAATGAATGAATGAATGAATGAATGGATGGATGGATGGATGGATGGATGGATGAATGAATGAATGAATGAATGAATGATGGATGGATGGATGGATGGATGGATGGATGGATGAATGAATGAATGAATGAATGAATGGATGGATGGATGGATGGATGGATGGATGGATGGATGGATGGATGGATGATGGATGATGAATGATGGATGATGGACAGTAGATTATCATAATCTGCTGATTTATCATCTACTGAATGATCTATATTACTCTTTAACAGCCTCCTTTTTGTTGCTAAAATGTAATTTTAGTCAGATTGAGCAACAGAAAGGCGATTATATAGTTAATATATGCATATATTTATATTTTTATTTCTAGTGTGGAAAGTTGTATCTTATTTCTTTAGATGATGAATGTGTGCAATATGTTGTTTGTATACATGGAGCATGTAACGAAGATAATTTCCCCCTAGGATCATTCAAGTATTTCTGATTATGAATACTTTCTTCACTATAATCCAAAATATTCCCCCCTTATCTATTAAAAAAACATCAATACTTGTAGCATCCTCATCCCGGTCCTGTTTTCATCAAGCCTGATTATTCTCTGCAGTCTGAGATCCTGCTTCTTGTTTTGATCTTCATTAGGAGCACGCTGTGACAATGCCTTGCACCTGGGTGATGGCCTGCGCCTACGCTCCATCTGGCTGCGCTGTAGCTTGTGGGTGAGTGTGTTACAATCCGTGGCAATCTAACCCGGTTGTTCATTTACTGTTTTGTAAACGGAGCTTGTTTTCCGTCACAGGGGCCTGGATAATAAATGCTCTGTGTATCCTCTGTCCCTGGACAAGAACGAGAATTTGGCAGCGAAGAAGAAGTCAGTGGCGATGCACACAAATTATCTGTCCGCCTGTAGCTTTACCAACTCAGACATGCAGGTGAGAATAGAGTTTAAAAAACGGCTTTCTGACTCTGCTAATGATTCACAGAAGCTTTGGTTATCTGTCCTGGTCACATGATGCTTCTCTCTGCAAACAAGCCTTTTACAGTCAAGAAAAAAAATATGAATTCCTCCCGAATCCTCATATTTTATCATAGATTCTAGCAACATTTTATATCTTTAGTGTTATTTGGAAGTGAAATAAAAAGGAAAACAGGTTTTATTATACCTAAGTGGGAAACGTGTTCTACCTACAGTAAGTGGCTGTTAGACTAGCAAAGTGGTTGGATTGAAGAAAGCGGACAGGTCCAATCCAGACTAAATGATATATATGTAAAAGAGCATTTTTAAATGTTAATCTGGACAACAAATAGGGAAAATTCATCTCAGAAAGAAGAAAAACTTGGCAGTTTTTAATGAAATGCCATGAAGAGAAAAGCAGCAGCTGGTTATGACAACTTCCAGCCANGGGAAAATTCATCTCAGAAAGAAGAAAAACTTGGCAGTTTTTAATGAAATGCCATGAAGAGAAAAGCAGCAGCTGGTTATGACAACTTCCAGCCAAGAGTGACCCCTTCTTGTTTTTACTCTGACTCCACCCTTTCACTAAATTACAGGGTCTGACCAGGAGATGGCGCTTCTCTTTAGATCTTAATGTCCACAAATCATGAGAGAAAGAATATTTTAGTACAAAAATTGTCATTTAAAGGAATTGTAGGGGACCAGCAGAGGGCCCATCAAGGAAAGTGTGGAAATTTTGAATGGCTGTTACTGTATGCAAACTTGGTAATTCCAGATGCTTTGCATGAACATAGAGATATTTTTAAAACATGAAATGCATCAAAAGGATACATTTAAACATTTAAGCTTTGCATAGAAATAAATAAATATAAAGAAAAGCAAGTTTAAGACAAATAAAAAGCTAAGGAGTCATAAAAATAAACAGATCAAGTTATCTTTGAAATTTATGGAAAAGTTACAGTAAACATGGATTTCCAGTCTTTATTCTGGAGAGTTTAAAGGTTTTTGCACATCTCAGGTTTTCATGGAACAAATTTCAAGCCAGTATTGTTATTGGAAACCAGGAAAGACCTTATTATTATTATTAATATATTTTTTTTTTGATTGTGTGTGATCCATGTACACTTGCACCTTAATTCTTATTCTTATCTTGATATCCTGTATATACAGCGCTTGCTTGTTTACTCTTAATGCACCTTTTCCTCCTTGTTTGCACCTTCTTTAATCACTATGCCAACATGTGACCAGTGAATTTCTGCGCTGTGAGATCAATAAAGCTCATCTAATCTAATCTAATTACCTTTGTAACATTCAAAATATATGAACATTTTGATGGCAAAATGTCCATGTATTAACAAGAAACGACCACTAATATATTAAGAAAAATAACAAAAGTGCTTCTATAAGAAATTCCTGAAAAACACTGAGAGTGAAAGAAATGGAACTCCATTTGTAAGGGGTTAGGGTTACGCGGACCGTCATGCCTTGGTGAGCCTTTTACTCTGTGGTTCTCAGTATAAATGCAAACAGGTGTGGAAACCATTAATTAATTTTGTTATACTTTGGCTTTAAATTGTGTTTTTCTCTAAAAAACAACAAAAAAAAACAAATAAAAGACATAAAATGTTATGCTGTTCACAACACTAACTGTAAAAAGGTTGAAAGGATGTGACAGGTTCTTTTTTTTTGCAGCACTCCTTATCTTTTCATTTTTTTTCATTTCAAAAAGTTTATTTCAAACCTGCACACATTTTACAATACATATAATGACAAACAATACATATTACTTATCTCAACTAACTTCGTTCTTCTGCATGCTTGGTGTAAGATCCTGACATCCAGTGGCGATGGGACGTGTGCTTTATGGGATGTTGAAAGCGGGCAGCTGCTGCAGAGCTTCCATGGCCACGCTGCAGACGTGCTCTGCCTGGACCTGGCTCCATCTGAGACTGGAAACACGTTTGTTTCAGGGGTGAAGACTGTCTGCACCACACTGTTTGCAGCTTACCAACACTTCAGACGTATTTCCTTACTTTAAACGTCCCTTTAATCCCACGACAGGGCTGTGATAAGAAGGCCAACGTGTGGGACATGCGTTCGGGACAGTGCATCCAGTCCTTCGAAACTCATGAATCGGACATAAACAGCGTGCGGTACGTCACCGTGTTAATCTCAGTTCATCATGCTGCTGTTGTCATGTTGTCATTATTTACACTTGTTCTTTTTAAATAGATACTATCCAAGTGGAGATGCTTTTGCATCTGGTTCAGATGATGCTACCGTAAGTACCCTAATAGACAGACACACCTCACAGTGAGCTATTAAAAAAGTGTTCAGCATGAACGTAGGAATTAAAAGCTCCCTTTTTTTCATTTCAGTGTCGTCTGTATGACTTGAGGGCAGACAGAGAAGTGGCCATTTATTCCAAAGAGAGCATTATCTTTGGGGTGTCCAGCGTTGATTTCTCACTCAGCGGTATGAGCTATTGCTCCAAACACTGACGTCTCCTGCATCGCTCGCAGGTATTGCTTTCAGAAACCGATAAATCTCTTTATGACATCTAGGTCGGCTACTGTTCGGAGGATATAACGACTACACCATAAACGTGTGGGACGTTCTCAAGGGAACGCGGGTCTCGATTCTGTTTGGACATGAGAACCGGGTCAGTACACTGCGCGTCTCTCCAGACGGGACGGCCTTCTGCACAGGATCCTGGGATCACACCCTTCGGGTATGGAGGGGTTTGGTTCTCTCTGATCATTTCTGCCATCTTAATCGTACTCCTTTGGTTTATATCTGCTGTTTCTTTTTGTTTTTTTTCTCCAGATCTGGGCCTAAACCCATCGCCACGGATTAGATATGCTACAGCTAAAGGCACACTGACCTTTCTGTTTGCTAGCGTACAATCAGAGACATAGAAACTCAGTTTAGGTTGTACATAGGGCATATCAATAGTATTGTACATACTCTTGTCTTCTGGTGCGGGTAGATTTAAATATTCAAGAGCTATTTAACTAAATGGCACGCTTGCATTACAATAACTGAAAGAAAATAGCACAGAATTACGTCATAATTAAAGTATATTTCAGAAAATATGATCGGTAGAGACTTGCATTGGCATAGGATAGAAATGACACAATCAGGTATCGTATGTGGCTACGTAAAGGACAATATTTATATGTTTTCTTCACTAGTGATAGTGAAAGATGCAGTCTGAGGAGGAAATCCAAATATATATACATATATATGACTGGGAGGGAGGGGTGGAGAGCAGAGACCATTTCTTGGGCTAGAATAGGTTGGAATAACAGTGATTGGTAAACTAAATGAAAAGACGGTCTGGGAAAATGTAAAAAATTACTTAAAATACAAAAAAAGTGGAACAGTAATGTTGATTTTTATTTTAAAGTGGAAAAAAGTGAAGTCCAAGAGAGGAAAAAAATATATATGTGGATAGGGCAATGGTTCACATTTCAAAACTTTACTCAAGTATATTCAGAGGTGTCAAAAGTATTCATGTTTATTACTCCAGTAGAAGTATAAATCCTAATTTAATTCTATTCAGTTTATTTCTATAGCTACAATTCACATCATGTCATCTCAGGTCACTTTCCAGT